GAGTAAGACCGTGGACCTGGTACATTTTTGGTGGTAATTTTGATGTTTAGCAGCGGGTAGGAAAAACAAGGGGGCAGAATGTATGTCAGGAGCCCTACGAACGGCATCTGGTACCGGTAGTGGAGATTATTACGCTTCACTAAATTCACTTGCAGTGACATTGGAGGAAGCGAGAGCAGAGAATTGTGTGAATAAATGGATGGGCCATTTAAGTGGGGTTGAGGGAAAGAGATGTGGCACTAGAAGATAGATCAAAGAATGGGGGCAAGGAGTGATTACACAACGGATGAACAGAAAATTGGTCGAGGGGCTTGTCTTCATTTGTCACTTAGTCAAGAATTACTTATGGCGTCAAAAACTACTTACACCAAAAATAAGTGAAGTCCTCTATTGCGAGCGCAAACACATTCTTGCTTAATCGATAATCCAAATATAAATGTGCTTTGGATGAAGCCTGACTTGCCTTAAATGTCATATTTGCCCTTTCTGCCGTTCAGCAGACACATTGTCAAAGGATCTAATCCACTTGCCTTTGACGGATTGTAGTGTAGTACTAGGAATGGTCAGGATTTCTAAGACGAAAAAACGTCTGGGAATGTACCAAGTCCACCGTCCAACGCTGGGACATATCATTGATACTGGGGCAGAGGAGCACTTCGGACAAGGTGTGCTCATTTAAGTCTCCCTGAAAATACGACCAAGTCGCCAAAACGAGAACAAATTACTTCCATAGTAGCGGAGTTGTCAGGTCGCCAAGATGCCCAAGACTAGGTATCGACTCTTATCGGGGCTGCAGATCAAACCTACGAGAGTTCTAATATGTCTTTTAGGAGGCAAGGTTAAGTTAGATTCAATGGCATTGTGAGGCCTATTACTTTAATTGTTGGGAACCCAGCTACCATTCCTTAAACCGCCTTAAGCAACCTAAGGTGACAATTCTTAATCGAACACTTGCTATTTGCATCGTTTGGGTATATGGAAGTTATAGAACTTCTCAAACGCCATCCATTACGTACTGAGGCCGAGGCGGTTACGCTTACGAGCCCTTGAGCTCACTACGTTCCGATCATCTTGTAAATGTACTATGCATATGCTCATGCCTTGGTTCTCTTAATGCAAGTAAGACTTCCACTGACGACCAACAAGATTCTTATGAGGGATATCATGTAAATCTTTTGGTACTCAGCCAATCTAAATTTTGTAACTGCCTCTCACTTAGCTTCCTTTTCCTGTTGTGTTTACAGCACTGTTGGGTTGCTTGAGGCTCGTTGCCAGTTTTTCGGAAAGGTGACGATTGCAATAAGCACAACTTTAAGGCTAATTGGCAGGCTTTTCAGTGGACTTTGTCGAGTTTACCTTTTTCCCAACTTCCTTGCCTGCTACAATGAAGAAAAGAGATAGCTCTTGTGTCCTCGAACCTAGTTCTGGTAGGTTGAGTGAATATAAAAACCTCTGTAACTCTTTCAATCGGACACGAACTACTGGGGCTTCCAATTGCTGTCTGAATCAAGCGGGTTTATCTGGCATTCTACAAATATGTGAGTAGAGTTGTATGAAGCGATAACTTGAGGGAACGGCGATCCGAACTGGTGCTGATTAGGGAAAATAGACTAGCCCAAAGAAATGCTTCATGCAGATGTGCACAAATGTGCAAACTAGCCGAGAGGCTTACTTGTGCGGATACGATGCGCACTGCGTATAAGAGACACGGTTGCGAGACGCTTAGTCCTAATGGAGGCTTGCAAATGACAACGACGTAAGTCTGTTCTTGTAGATCAGACGTCCTGGACTGTCGAGCAGAGGAATATAGCTATTCAAGCCGATACTCTTGTTGATAAGTCTTAATCTAGGTTGAATGTCAAAGGATGTACCATTTGAAGGTTGATCGTAAGAGATTTGTATATTGGCCTGTCCTGAAATCCAAGTAAGATTGCTTTATGTTTGTGATTATTGATTTAAGAGATGAGGTCTTTGGCTCACCATTTTGTGACCCCAATGGATCCTAACCATTTTGTCGGGGCACGGTTGCCATAACACACAACCAATTTTCCCAGTCTGACGATATTTCTGGGCTGTTCCGACCATCTAGGTGCCATTACACGAGATCGATTAAATTCATGATTCAGGGTTAGGGTAATGAATGTTGAAATACCTTTCATTTGGCTTGAAAGGTTAGTGGAAAGGATTCGGAGGTTGTTCTCATCGTAAACTCAAGAATGAGTTGTGACTGCTGGTTTGTGGGAAGGAGACCTCGGTTTACCGGCCTGTGATCACGGTGAATCCGTGCTGGGCTTTCGCGTGTCATGTGGCCGGCAGTATCGCTAAACCAAAAAAAGATTATTTTAACGGTCTTAGCCAATCAAATCACGCGATGCCTCATTAACTTCTCAACATCAGGTATATGAAGTAAACAGGATTCAGGCTAGCCGCCTTGGTTTAGTATTCCAGTGGGTATACTTTCTAGCCGAGATCGTCCGTCATGGGGGAACAGATGAAAGCTTAACACAGATTCATAGCGGTTGCGGAACGGTGAGCCGAGGTCTTTTTTTCAGAATCTACTAGTAATGACAGCCTCTGGTGAGGAAAATTTACGGGTCTCTTCCACCCGTATTTCTAAGCGAATTAGATGTTAAGCTAAGAACAATTATTAAGAGATCATTCTAGACCCAGTATCTTATATATTGAAATAAAAAAGTTTTTATTCTCCTTTGTGGAATGTTAAGATAAAGTAAACCGGATAAATTTGGAGTTTTTCTCTTATTTGCTCAACGCTGGTGCTGGTGCCTTATGGATCACATACAACGCTATACCGCCTCGTCGATCCACACTTCGGAATTAGGCATCATCTGTTAATAGATTCTCGTACCTACTTTTCAGTTAGTTTGAAAATGGCGAGTGGAGGGCATTCGTAGATTGGCTGCATTTGAAATCAGAGATGTGACTGAGCTTGTACAAGACTTCTTCAGCCCACCGTCCTTCTACTACGATCAATCCTTCGTCTGTTCCTCTGTGGCGTACATAATCATCACGTGAAATGATGCTCTATGGAGGGTGGCCGGCTGCAATCTTTATCGCCTAAATTTGTCCATTTCAGGAATCTCGTGATCGGATTGGCTATCTCATGCTTCTACAGGCTTT